TCTCTATCCATCCACCCTTCCATACACCTTTCTATCCATCCATCCATCTCTCTATCCATCCATCCATCCATCCATCCATCCATCCATCCATCCATCCATCTCGCCATCCATCCATCCATCCATCCATCCATCCATCCATCCATCCATCTCGCTATCCATCTATCCATCTCATAGAATCATAGAATCATAGAATGAAAGAGTTGGAAGAGACCTCCTGGGCCATCCAGTCCAACCCCATTCTGCCAAGAAGCAGGAATATTGCACTTAAATCACCCCTGACAGATGGCCATCCAGCCTCTGTTTCAAAGCTTCCAAAGAAGGAGCCTCCACCACACTCCTGGGCAGAGAGTTCCACTGCTGAATGGCTCTCACAGTCATGTTCAGATGGAATCTCCTCTCATGTAGTTTGAAGCCATTGTTCCATTGCATCCTAGTCTCCAGGGAAGCAGAAAACAAGCTCCCTCCTCCTCCCTGTGGCTTCCTCTCACATATTTATACATGGCTATCATATCTCCTCTCAGCCTTCTCTTCTTCAGGCTAAACATGCCCAGCTCCTTAAGCCGCTCCTCATCTCGCTATCCATCCATTCATCCATCTATCTGTCCATCCATCCATCCATCCATCCATCTCGCTATCCATGCATCCATCCATGCATCTCTCTATCCATCCATCCATCCATCCATCCATCCATCCATCCATCCATGCATCTATCTATCCATCCATTCACCCATCTAACTATCGATCGATCGATCAATCCATCCATCCATCCACCCACCCACCCACCCATGCATCCATCCATCCATTCACCCATCTGTATCTATCTATCTATCTATCTATCTATCTATCTATCTATCTATCCATCCACCCACCCATGCATCCATCCATCCATTCACCCATCTATCTATCTATCGATCGATCCATCCACCCACCCACCCACCCACCCACGCATCCATCCATCCATCCATCCATCCATCCATCCATCCATGCATCACTCTATCCATTTATCCATCCATCCATGGTCTATCTATCTATCTATCTATCTATCTATCTATCTATCTATCTATCTATCTATCCATCCATCCATCCATCCATCCATCCATCCATCCATCCATAATAATAATAATAACAACAACAACAATCATTATAATACTTATAATATTATAATTAACATATAACATTGCAGATAAGATTTTTCTCTCACCCTGACCAAAACAACAACAACAACAACAACAACAACAATAACACATTATTCATAGGCCACCCTATCTCCCCAAAGGGACTCAAGCTTCCATTTCCAAATATATCCTGGGATAAGTGGTTCTTTTTAATATATTGTTGAAGACTTTCATGGCTGGAATTGCAGAGTTGTTATGTGTTTTCCAGGCTGTCTGGTCATATTCCAGAAGCATTCTCTCCTGACGTTTCACCCCCATCTATGGCAGGCATTCAGAAGTTGTGAGGTCTGTTTGGAAACTAGGAAAATGGGGTTTATATATGTCAAAAATGAGAATTCCAGAGAAGAAACAATCAGGATCAGCGAATCACCTCCCAACAAAGGATTCCCCCAGGCAGGAAGAAGCCAGACCTTGAAACTGCTAGGACATTAAATGCTAATTGAAACATTCCCACCTACCTCCAACAGACAAGAGTCTTTTCTCCCACCCTAGACATTTCACAGATATAGTTTTCATAGTTTCCAAACAGACCTCTGAGGATGCCTGCCATGGATGCAGGCGAAACGTCAGGAGAGAATGCTTCTGGAACATGGCCAGACAGCCCAGAAAACTCACAACAACCCGGTTCTACTTTCATCTCTCTCTCTGGAGAGAGAGATGGCATATAATCCAGATGATCCAAGCAGATAATCCACATTCCCTGCTTTGAACTGGACTACCTGAGTCTACACTGCCATTTAATCCAAAGCAGATAACCTGGTTTTTGAATTGAAAGTGTAGAATGGGCTTCTCACTCCCCTTCCATTGATGTTGGAAGGACAATTAATCAAAGCCAGAGGTTCAAAAGCCCAGCCGAGGCAGGGATGAGTGATAGCGAGAGGATGTTGAGGAAAGGTCTCCCCAATGCAGTGGTTCTCAGTCTATGTTTTGCTCTTCAACTCCCAGAAATCCTAACACAGTGTTTCTCAACCTGGGGATTGGGACCCATAGGGGGGTCGTGAGGGGGTGTTAGAGGGGTCACCAAAGACCATCAGAAAACACATTTCATAGGCCCTTCTTTTGGAGCCTTAAGGTGCATCTACACTGTGGAATTAATGCAGTTTGGTACCACTTCAACTACTCCTCAGGGTTGAGACCTCTGGGGGGTTGCAAAGGGGGTGTCAGTGGGGTCACCAAAAACCATCAGAATACACAGTATTTTCTGTTGGTCATGGGGGTTCTGTGTGGGAAGTTTGGCCCAATTCCATCATTGGTTGAGTTCAGAATGCTCTTTGATTGTAGGTGAACTATACATCCCAGCAACTACAACTCCCAAATGTCAAGGTCTGTTTCCCCCAAACTCCACCAGTGTTCACATTTGTGCATATTGAATATTCCTGCCAAATTTGGTCCAGATCCCTCATTGTTTGAGTCCACAGTGCTCTCTGGATGGAGGTGAACTACAACTCCAAAACTCAAGGTCAGTGCCCACCAAACCCTTCCAGTATTTTCTGCTGGTCATGGGAGTTCTGTGTGTCAAATTTGGTTCAATTCCATCATTGGTAGAGTTCAGAAGGCCTTTTGATCGTAGGTGAACTACAAATCCCAGCAACTACAACTCCCAAATGTCAATGTCTGTTTCCCACAAACTCCACCAGTGTTCACATTTGGGCATATTGGGTCCAGATTTGGTCCAGATTCATCATTGTTTGAGTCCGTAGTTCTCTCTGGATATAGGTGAACTACAACTCCAAAACTCAAGGTCAGTGCCCACCAAACCCTTCCAGTATTTTCTGCTGGTCATGGGAGTTCTGTGTGCCAAGTTTGGCTCAATTCCAACATTGGTAGAAGGCTTTTTGATTGTATGTGAACTACAAATCCCAGCCACTACAACTCCCAAATGTCAAGGTCTGTTTTCCACAAACTCCACCAGTGTTCACATTTGTGTATATTGAGTATTCGTGCCAAATTTGGTCCAGATCCAACATTGTTTGAGTCCATAGTGCTTTCTGGATTGAGGTGAACTACAACTCCAAAACTCAAGGTCAGTGCCCACCAAACCCTTCCAGTATTTTCTGCTGGTCATGGGAGTTCTGTGTGCCATGTTTGGCCCAATTCCAACATTGGTAGAGTTCAGAAGGTTTTTTGATTGTAGGTGAACTATAAATCCCAGCAACTACAACTCCCAAATGTCAAGGTCTGTTTTCCCCAAACTCCACCAGTATTCACATTTGTGCATATTGAATATTCCTGCTAAATTTGGTCAAGATCCCTCATTATTTGAGTCCATAGTGCTTTCTGGATATAGGTGAACTACAACTCCAAAACTCAAGGTCAGTGCCCACCAAACCCTTCCAGTATTTTCTGTTAGTCATGGGCATTCTATGTGCCAAGTTTTGTTCAATTTCATCATTGGTGGAGTTCAGAATGCTCTTTGACTGTAGGTGAACTATAAATCCCAGCAACTACAAATCCCAAATGACAAAATCAATCCCCTCCCAAACCCACTATTATTCAAATTTGGGCGTATTGGGTGCCAAATGTGGTCCAGTGAATGAAAATACAATCTGCATATCAGATATTTACATGGTGATTATTTATTTATTTATTTATTTAATTGGGTTGTTGTAGGTTTTTCCGGGCTATATGGCCATGTTCTAGAGGCATTCTCTCCTGACGTTTCGCCTGCAGCTATGGCAAGCATCCTCAGAGGTAGTGAGGTCTGTTGGAAATAGGACAATGGGTTTATATATCTGTGGAAGGGCTGGGGTGGGGCAAAGAGCTCTTCTCTGCTGGAGCTATTATTATTATTATTATTATTATTATTATTATTATTATTATTATTATTACAGTTATTACAGTTATGAAGTAGCAACAAGAATAATGTTATGGTTGGGGGTCACCACAACATGAGGAACTATATCAAGAGGTTGCAGAACATTGAAAAACGCTGTCCTAACAATTGTTAAACTGACTAGGATTTCTGGGAGTTGTGGGCCAAAATACCTGGGATCCACAGGTTGAGAACCACTATAAGATTGCTGGTTTGCTGAAGAATCATAGAATCATAGAATCAAAGAGTTGGAAGAGACCTCCTGGGCCATCCAGTCCAACCCCCTGCCAAGAAGCAGGAATATTGCATTCAAATCAGCCCTGACAGATGGCCATCCAGCCCCTGTTTAAAAGCTTCCAAAGAAGGAGCCTCCACCACATTCCGGGGCAGAGAGTTCCACTGCTGAATGGCTCTCATAGAGTTGGAAGAGGCCTCATGGGCCAACCAGTCCAACCCCATTCTGCCAAGAAGCAGGAACATTGCATTCAAAGCACCCCTGACAGATGGCCATCCAGCCTCTGTTGAAAGCCTCCAAAGAAGGAGCCTCCACCACACTCCGGGGCAGGGAGTTCCATGGCTAAACATAGAATCAAAGAGTTGGAAGAGACCTCCTGGGCCATCCAGTCCAACCCTTCTGCCAAGAAGCAGGAATATTGCATTCAAAGCACCCCTGACAGATGGCCATCCAGCCTCTGTTTAAAAGCCTTCAAAGAAGGAGCCTCCACCACACTGTGGGGCAAAGAGTTCCACTGCTGAACATAGAATCATAGAGTTGGAAGAGACCTCATGGGCCATCCAGTCCAATTCCCTGCCAAGAAGTAGGACAATCCCATTCAAAGCACCCCCAACTGATGGCCATCCAGCCTCTGTTTAAAAGTCTTCAGAGAAGGAGCCTCCACCACACTCCGAGGCAGAGAGTTCCACTGCTGAACGGCTCTCACAGTCAGGAAGTTCTTCCTCATTTTCAAGAGATAGAGACCTGAGCAATATTGCATCACCGTTGGCCAACCTACCTGTGGAAGTGGACTGGATGGTCTTCCTCATCCACTCGTAGGAGCTGAGAGGCGAGATGGGCTCGGCGTTGACGGTCTCCACGGAGGACAACGACCCAGATCCAGCAGCATTGAGGGAACCATAGTCTTGACCATAAGGAGCTGGACCAGGAGATGAGCCATTCATCGGGGCCACCGTGGTGGAGGCCATCCCTGCGTTGAAAGCGTCCCAGTCCTCTCTCTGTGGGCCGTAAGGGGTCCCCCAAGATCCATTATTAGCCTGGCCTCGGTTTTCCATGCCCTGCATGTGGTGGAATCCCATGTAGTCGTTGTAGGAGGCAAAGCTTTGGCCTGGCACATTGTTGCCGTTGTTCCCACTGCCACCGTTGCACCTGATGGTGGCCGGATACATGCTGGCTTCTTTCTCCAAGGGACGTCTCACATACATGTTGGCTCATCCCCTGGCATGGCTTCTCCAAGGCCTCCTCCTGGCTTGGCCTGGCATCTCCTCCAAAGGCTCAGGCTCCAGGTATGGAGAGGAGAAGAGAGGAGATGGGACCCCTTTGGGAAGCCTGTTGGCCCAGATGACTGGCTGCAGCTCCCACGTCGCATTTGCATCCGAATGAAGGGAGGTCCCTTCCCAACCCCAACCACACCTTGCTCCCTCCGGTGGGAGGGTCTCCCACTCCCCCTTTTTGAGGGTCTTGCTCAACTTCATGCAAGCGGCTCCAGGAAGGAACAACAAACTGCAGGAAATCCTCACCAGTCCCAACACTGAGGACTATGGAATAGGGCTACACATTGGGGAACATGGGATTTATTTATTTACTAGCTTGGGGCCCACCAAACCCTTCCAGTATTTTCTGCTGGTCATGGGAGTTCTGTGTGCTAAGTTTGGCTCAATTCCAACATTGGTAGAGTTCAGAAGGCTTTTTGATTGTAGGTGAACTATAAATCCCAGCAACTACAACTCTCAAATGTCAAGATCTATTTCCCCCAAACTCCACCAGTGTTCACATTTGTGCATATTGAGTATTTGTGCCAAATTTGGTCCAGATCCAACATTGTTTGAGTCCATAGTGCTTTCTGGATATAGGTGAACTACAACTCCAAAATTCAAGGTCAGTGCCCACCAAACCCTTCCAGTATTTTCTGCTGGTCATGGGAGTTCTGTGTGTCAAATTTGGTTCAATTCCATCATTGGTAGAGTTCAGAAGGCTTTTTGACTGTAGGTGAACTACAAATCCCAGCAACTACAACTACAACTCTCAAATGTCAAGATCTATTTCCCCCAAACTCCACCAGTGTTCACATTTGTGCACACTAAGTGTTTAAATTAAGTGTTTACATCTGATGGTCTTTGGTCCCTGGTATTCGTGCCAAATTTGGTCCAGATCCAACATTGTTTGAGTCCATAGTGCTTTCTGGATTGAGGTGAACTACAACTCCAAAACTCAAGGTCAGTGCCCACCAAACCCTTCCAGTATTTTCTGCTGGTCATGGGAGTTCTGTGTGTCAAATTTGGTTCAATTCCATCATTGGTAGAGTTCAGAAGGCTTTTTGACTGTAGGTGAACTACAAATCCCAGCAACTACAACTACAACTCTCAAATGTCAAGATCTATTTCCCCCAAACTCCACCAGTGTTCACATTTGTGCACACTAAGTGTTTAAATTAAGTGTTTACATCTGATGGTCTTTGGTCCCTGGTATTCGTGCCAAATTTGGTCCAGATCCAACATTGTTTGAGTCCATAGTGCTTTCTGGATTGAGGTGAACTACAACTCCAAAACTCAAGGTCAGTGCCCACCAAACCCTTCCAGTATTTTCTGCTGGTCATGGGAGTTCTGTGTGCTAAGTTTGGCTCAATTCCAACATTGGTAGAGTTCAGAAGGCTTTTTGATTGTAGGTGAACTATAAATCCCAGCAACTACAACTCTCAAATGTCAAGATCTATTTCCCCCAAACTCCACCAGTGTTCACATTTGGGCATATTGAGTATTTGTGCCAAATTTGGTCCAGATCCAACATTGTTTGAGTCCATAGTGCTTTCTGGATTGAGGTGAACTACAACTCCAAAACTCAAGGTCAGTGCCCACCAAACCCTTCCAGTATTTTCTGCTGGTCATGGGAGTTCTGTGTGTCAAATTTGGTTCAATTCCATCATTGGTAGAGTTCAGAAGGCTTTTTGACTGTAGGTGAACTACAAATCCCAGCAACTACAACTACAACTCTCAAATGTCAAGATCTATTTCCCCCAAACTCCACCAGTGTTCACATTTGTGCACACTAAGTGTTTAAATTAAGTGTTTACATCTGATGGTCTTTGGTCCCTGGTATTCGTGCCAAATTTGGTCCAGATCCAACATTGTTTGAGTCCATAGTGCTTTCTGGATTGAGGTGAACTACAACTCCAAAACTCAAGGTCAGTGCCCACCAAACCCTTCCAGTATTTTCTGCTGGTCATGGGAGTTCTGTGTGCTAAGTTTGGCTCAATTCCAACATTGGTAGAGTTCAGAAGGCTCTTTGACTGTAGGTGAACTATAAATCCCAGCAACTACAAATCCCAAATGACAAGATCTATTTCCCCCAAACTCCACCAGTGTTCACATTTGGGCATATTGAGTATTTGTGCAAAGTTTGGTCCAGATCCATCATTGTTTGAGTCCACAGTGCTCTCTGGATGTAGGGGAACTACAACTCCAAAACTCAAGGTCAGTGCTGACCAAACCCTTCCAGTATTTTCTGTTGGTCATGGGAGTTCTGTCTAAGTTTGGCTCAATTCCAACATTGGTAGAGTTCAGAAGGCTCTTTGACTGTAGGTGAACTATAAATCCCAGCAACTACAAATCCCAAATGACAAGATCTATTTTCCCCAAACTCCACCAGTGTTCACATTTGTGCATATTGAGTATTTGTGCCAAATTTGGTCCAGATCCAACATTAAAAAAAAAAAAAAAAAAAAAAAAAAAAAAAAAAAAAAAAAAAAAAAAAAAAAAAAAAAAAAAAAAAAAAAAAAAAAAAAAAAACAAAAAAAAAAAAAAAAAAAAAAAAAAAAAAAAAAAAAAAAAAAAAAAAAAAACATATTGAGTATTTGTGCCAAATTTGGTCCAGATCCAACATTGTTTGAGTCCATAGTGCTTTCTGGATTGAGGTGAACTACAACTCCAAAACTCAAGGTCAGTGCCCACCAAACCCTTCCAGTATTTTCTGCTGGTCATGGGAGTTCTGTGTGCTAAGTTTGGCTCAATTCCAACATTGGTAGAGTTCAGAAGGCTCTTTGACTGTAGGTGAACTATAAATCCCAGCAACTACAAATCCCAAATGACAAGATCTATTTTCCCCAAACTCCACCAGTGTTCACATTTGTGCATATTGAGTATTTGTGCCAAATTTGGTCCAGATCCAACATTGTTTGAGTCCATAGTGCTTTCTGGATTGAGGTGAACTACAACTCCAAAACTCAAGGTCAGTGCCCACCAAACCCTTCCAGTATTTTCTGCTGGTCATGGGAGTTCTGTGTGCTAAGTTTGGCTCAATTCCAACATTGGTAGAGTTCAGAAGGCTCTTTGATTGTAGGTGAACTATAAATCCCAGCAACTACAACTCCCAAATGTCAAGATCTATTTTCCCCAAACTCCATGTTCACATTTGGGCATATTGAGAATTTGTGCCATGTTTGGTCCAGATCCATCATTGTTTGAGTCCACAGTGCTCTCTGGATGTAGGTGAACTACAACTCCAAAACTCAAGGTCAATGCCCACCCAACCCTTCCAGTATTTTCTGTTGGTCATGGGAGTTCTGTGTGCCAAGTTTGGTCCAATTCCATCGTTGGTAGAGTTCAGAAGGCTCTTTGAATGTAGGTGAACTATAAATCCCAGCAACTACAAATCCCAAATGACAAGATCTATTTTCCCCAAACTCCACCAGTGTTCACATTTGTGCATATTGAGTATTTGTGCCAAATTTGGTCCAGATCCAACATTGTTTGAGTCCATAGTGCTTTCTGGATATAGGTGAACTACAACTCCAAAATTCAAGGTCAGTGCCCACCAAATCCTTCCAGTATTTTCTGCTGGTCATGGGAGTTCTGTGTGCTAAGTTTGGCTCAATTCCAACATTGGTAGAGTTCAGAAGGCTCTTTGACTGTAGGTGAACTATAAATCCCAGCAACTACAAATCCCAAATGACAAGATCTATTTTCCCCAAACTCCACCAGTGTTCACATTTGTGCATATTGAGTATTTGTGCCAAATTTGGTCCAGATCCAACATTGTTTGAGTCCATAGTGCTTTCTGGATATAGGTGAACTACAACTCCCAAATTCAAGGTCAGTTCCCACCAAACCCTGCCAGTATTTTGGAATCGTTCCAGGAGTTGCATGTGATGTCTGTAGACAGTCCACGTCTCGCAGGCGTATAGCAGGGTTGGGAGGACAATAGCTTTATAGACAAGCACCTTGGTCTTCCTACGGATGTCCCGGTCCTCAAAACTCTCTGCTTCATTCGGGAAAATGCTGCACTCGCAGAGCTCAGGCGGTGTTGTGAGTATCTCTGTAGGTCTTAGGCTATTGTCTCGACACTGTTTTTTTAATGAGCCAGGAAAGCACTAATAGATGGCAGCCCATTAAGAGCGCGAGGCCTAATGGAATGAGCTGACACATTAGAGCAAAGCCTCTGTTAAAGGGGTGCAAAGCGACCGACTCCGCTGGCAAGGTTTGGCCTCCTCATGCCACCTCTGGCCTTCATTCGAGGGTGCAATTCTTCAATCTTCAACCCAAGAGCAGCCCAAACGTGAGCTCCCTTCTCCTCTTCTTCTCAAGTCATTTCCAACCTATTGCAACCAAAAGGTGAATATATCCCAGAGTTTTCTTGACATGATCAATTCAGAAGACGATGGCCTTCCTTTGAGGCTGAGAGAGTGGTCCTTGCCCACGATCTCCCAGTAGGTTTCCATACCTAAGCGGAGATTTGAGCCCTGCTTTCCCAAAGTTGGAGTTTCTTCTCTTTCTCTTCTCTTCTCTTCTTCATTCCTTCCTCTTCTTCTTCCTATGTTTAACCTCCTTCCTCCTCTTCCTCTCCTTTCTCTTCCTCTTCTCCTCTTCTTCCTCCTTCCTTCTCTTACTTCTCCTTTCTACTCTTCGTTCTCTTCTCTTCTCCCTCCTGTTTAACCTTCTTCCTTCTCTTCCTCTCTTCTTCTTTTTCTTCCTCCTCTGTTTAACCTCCTACCCCCGCTTCCTCTCCTTCATCTTCTTCCTCCTCCTCCTCTCCTGTTTAACCTTCTCTTTCTCTTCCTCTCTTCTTTCTCTTCCTCCTCCACCTATGTTTAACCTCCTTCCTCCTCTCCTCCTCCTTTCTCTTCTTCCTCTCCTGTTTAACCTTCTTCCTTCCTCTTTTCTTCTTTCTCCTCCTC